CAGAGGTACCTAGGTTGGTACAGTCATCGGGATTCAAGGCCAGAAAAGGGCAGCTTTCAGAGAAGTTTGAGGGACTTTGCTGGCACTGTAACAAACTTGGGCACAAGAGAGCTCAATGCCGGCAACTTCAACACAGAGAAGATGCCACTGCAGGAAAGGCTGCTACCCAGAAAAGTTGTTGGAACTGTGCAGAGCAAGGACATATGAGGAGCCAGTGTAAGAATACTACTTCCAATAAATCAGCCTCGGAGAAACCAGTAGTAGTTTGTGTTGCGAAACGCCCACTAACCCCATCATGAAAATCACAACAGCTAGGTGTAAAATGCCAAGCACACACAGTGTCTATGTGACGGGAATGCTGCATGGCCAAAAGTGCAACTTTGTCAGAGATTCTGCATCTCAGCAAACCTTTGTGAGTATCAAGGTGCTAAATCACAAAGGAATACCAGAAGCCATACAGAAGCTCTGTGGTGTGACAGGACATTATGCAAGGTTGTGGTGACCAGTGTGGGTAACTATTGAGCTCATGTGCATAAATGACAGACACAAAGTATATTTGGCTGACATTGAAGACCCATACATATTAGGGTTGGACTACCGAGGAAGTATGTAGTTAACTTTGATAAAATAACGTTTGGGAACAACAAAGGTCAAATTCAGGTAAGTATTAAAAGAGAGGTTGAACTAACCAGGTGCCATCAAGCTGAAGTCAAAGTGACTGAAGGAGTTGATAATGGTGTAGTGGAACCAAATATAGATATTAAAGCAGAACAGGAGAAAGACCAAGATTTGTAACCAATAATTGATTTTCTACAAGCAAGTGTTTTGCACCCTGCTTGGGAGAAGATCTCTAGCTTAAGCCTTGTGACAAAGAACTATTGGGACCAGTTGATGCTCGAAGATGGTAGTCTTGTCCGGAGATGGAAAAGTGACGACCTGGCAAACAGTTATACAGAGAAAGTTACGGGAAGTTGTGGTGCATCAATAGTTTAACAGGAGGACATCTTGGAGTTAAAAAGACATTGAGTCACTTATGGCAGAGATTTTACTGGATAT